CAACAGAGCTCAGCTGGACGATGGCGCTACATACAAGGTTGTCCTTGCGAACGCTGCCGGTGAATGCGACTCTTCTGCACAGCTTACGGTTACTAAACCGAATATCCTAAAGGTGCTAGAAGGACTTAAGGATATCGATGTGGATGAAGGACAACCGATTGAACTCAAGGTCAAAGTTGAAGGAATCCCCAAGACCGTGAAATGGTACAAAAATGGAAGTGAAATCACTCCAAACGCTGATCTGCAATTGAAGGAAAATCCTGAAACTGGCGAATATTCGTTGTTGATTCCACAATCGAAGAAAAGCGATGGTGCTGCTTACCGTATCTCGTTGGCTAACGATAAGGGTGAAGTTTACAGCGGTTCAGTGGCGCATGTTAAGGCAGCCAAGCCTAAGGAAGTGATCAAACCGGCTAATTTCCTTTCACCTCTGGAAGATACCGAGGTTTTGGAGGGCGAAACCCTTACGCTGAAATGCGTCGTCGCTGGCGAACCATTCCCCGAGATTGTCTGGACAAAAGACGGAGTGGAACTCGAAAAAGACGATCGTGTTGCTATGCGTGTTGCACTTGATGGAACAGCTACGCTACGCATTCGTGACGCAAAGAAATCCGACTATGGCCAGTACCGTATCACTGCCAAGAATGAGGGAGGAACAGAGACTAGCGCATGCCAGGTAATTGTACTTTGAAACTGTTGGGTTACTGTAATTCACTGTGTTGATATTGTAGGTAACCGTGAAAGAAAAAGGTGAAGAACCATCAAAGCCGAGATTTATAATCCCACTGAAATCATGCGAAGCTGAGGTAGGAGAGAAGAAGATGTTTGAGGTCAAATTACGCGGATTCCCGAAACCTACCTTGGAATGGTAAGGTTTTGTTCTGGTATGAGTCTTGTAGAAAATGAGGGTCACAGTACAGGTTTTACCTATGCTGCAGACTTTAAGAAAAAGTACTAGAAATTCACTTTTTGAATTTTCAAAGTAAACGCTTTAGAACAAGCGCAAGTGATCCGTAAAATAATAAAACTGCAAGCAATCATTAGATTCTGTGAGGGACCACAAATTTTATTTTTACCTTTAGGTTCCTCAACGACCAGCCTCTCAAGTTTGACGATCGTGTCACTGTTGAAGACCTTGGAGCTGGAAATTACTGTCTTACGATTAAGGATGTACGTAAGATGTTTTCTAACGAGGTGTAGCACATTAATTGGAATTTTCATAAATCCTTCCATGCTTTCAGATCAGAGAATCCGACTTTGGCACCATACGATGCAAAGCCTCTAATGAGATTGGAAAGGATGAATGTCAAGCCGAATTTGCTAGATCTGGTACGTTGCCTAATTTTGCAAAGAAGATCGCTTTCGACTGGCTTCAGCTTCTGAAAATCCAAC